CTTGAATTTACTAAACTTTGATAAATTGAACTGCGTGATATGAACAATCCTTACTAATATTATAAATCGGAAAGTGAGTTTAGTAGTAGTAGTAGTAATAAACTTCTTTATTTCCCCTCACAATTATGACACTTATTTTAGTTTTACAATTTATTTATAATCTAGTTTTTATGGCAATTCGAGGTGCTGGACTCTGTGTTAGGCGTAAAATACCTGTATTGCAAGTCTCCAGGTCCCCGCCCCACGGAAGAACAGGAAGCTTTACCTTATAAATGTGTGATGTATTACATTTTTATTTGCAAAGACATTAAAACCAAGCAATAGGAGAAAAAAGAACATAATGTATGAAATATAGAAGTCTTGTTATAATACGAGTATTCATTTATTTTATTTAATGAACACCTAGTTATAGTCACAGTGATCCGTTGGATGCAGGTCTATTCCAACCGGCTTATAAGTTATTAGAAGAAGATTAATTAAGCTTATCTAGAAGTTATAAGAGGAGGCCTATGTTCAGCAGTGGATATCTTATGGCTCATAATACGATGATAGGAATTATAAGATTTATTACTCAATACTAGACATTAAGTATCATCAATGTAACTTATAAACTAAGACATTAGTGATCAGCGTGTCCTGTGACACGTAGGCCTCTTCCAGCTTTTTCCACTCGTCTCTGTCTCTAGCTGTTCTTCGTCACGTAGCCTCTCCGACTTTTCGTAAACCGTCCATTCATCTTTTCTCCTGCCTGCCTCTTCTTTTGACTCAATATGTCACGACTCGAATTTTGGAATATGATGATAATACTACATACAACATATACCTAAGTATAAGTGGACTTAATCAATACTAACATTATAAAGCTAGAAAGTTTGTTTGTTTGAACGCGCAAATCTCAGGAACTCCTGGTTCGAATTGAAACACTTTTTTTTTATTGAATAGCGCATTTATCGAGGAAGGCTTTAGGCTACATAACATCACGCTGTGAGTAATAGGAGCGAAGAAATAATGGAAAATGTGGAAATAATGGGGAAAATTATTCATCTTTGAGGGTTTCCGTTGCGTGCTCTGCGAGAACGGTTCAAGATACCAAGAAAATATGTATGAAAGAATTATTCTTCTTGAAATGATCTAAAAAAATGTTCGTGACAGTATGTGTTTATCTTTTAAGTTTAACTCATTAGAACCATTTTTATGATAATCAAATTTGGTCGAAATTAATGCATTATTACGAATTATCTATTTGTTAGAGTTGTAGTAACATAATAATATTAATCTTTATTCAAATAAAGGTATTATTGATTAAACGTATTTAATTGTGAACAAAATTACCTTTAATATCACTTCATTTCAATGAACAACTTAGAAAGTATTGAAATTTGAGAATAACTCCGATATAATTTTCACATGTGTGATGTGCAAAACATGACACAGGACGCGGGAGCACATTTGGAGGCAGGTAGTGTAACTTTTCCTTCAGAGTTACTTTTAATAGGAGACGGGAAAGTACCTCATTTTGAAAATAAAATTGAAATTGATCGCGATTTAGGAGAAAGAGTGAGTAACATTGAGGACTTGGTACCGAATTTACCTTGGAATCAATGAAATAGAAAATAAAGATCATCAATGAATGTGTTGAAGGGCAATATTGGCGGCGAGGAATAGTAGCGTGGACGAAATTAACGACCTAACTTTACCTACACATCTATTGATAATATCATCAATCATAAAGATGCGGTCCATTACCCACAGGACCTTAATTCTTTGAACCGAAGTGGCCTTCCCTCATATTCCCTCCAGTTAAAATAGGTGCCCCAATAATTTTACTTAGAAATATTAATCCACCAAATTTATGTAACGGGACCCGACTTCAAATCAAATTTCTTCGCAATAAGGTGACCGTTGCAATAGTTATGACTAGTTCAGCAATTGGTGAAACAGTGCTTATACCTCGCATCCCAATGATTCCAAATGATTAACGTTTTGAATTTTAAAAGAATTCGATTTCGCAGCTATCTTTCGCTGTTACAATTAATAAATTACAGCATTGCTTTTTACACAGCCAGCTATATGTCGCGTTGTCAAGATTGGGTTGCGGAGAAAACCAATATGTTCTTCTGCCACAAAAAAATAAAACAAAATCATAATTTACGCAGAAGTACTTTAAAATAAAATTATGTTCTTTCTTTTTTGTTTTTTCAATAAGGAGTGCACTTGATTTGAATAGACTGTCTAAGGAATTTGACATCGACTTATTTTGCACCAGTGTTGCATCCTTGCGACATCAAATCTCACAAAACTTCTTCGATAGTTAACTTCTTTTTCTAATTATTCTTCTAACAATTGATATTTGTTAGTAATTAATTGTCTTCTGTACTCTTTTTTTATGCCTTTTTGTTTTTTCTTTTTATATATATGTGGAGGCTTGTAATTAGCAATTTGTCAATATTATACTCTTATAAAATCATTTTCAATGTATTAGTCTGTAAGCCTTCTTAAAATAAATAAATAAAATAAATAATAAATAAAACTTAAAACTAATTTGTCTAAGAAAATAACAGAAATTTCTGCGGACAAAGTCGTGGGTAACCGCTAATGAATGATATTTTCTCCGTCTATCTTTGGGAGGTATTTTGCCTGTATCTGCAATATTACCGCAGTGGTCTTCATGGATAATCGCTATTTTCTCAGAAACACCAACTCAGTTACATAATTAAAATTTAGTGACTGATAAGGTGCGCTATCTCCCTCTCTCATATACCCGTCTCGCTCACTCACATTGTAAACTACACCTTGCTTACGCGCCGCTACTATTCAATATATTCCAGGAATCATACAGACTGTGGCCAACACCAATGGGACACATTAATTACATTTTACTTATTTTTATTTCTACACCTTGTAAAGGTAAATTGTGAAAATAAGAAAACTTTCCTAGAACTAGTATTCTAAAGGAAATCAATAATTTGTATTTAATTTTCGTATTGCGTAGTCTAACGTAGCACCGTGTAGCCGTGTAGTATGGCGTAGCAAACGTTCGTAGCAGTTTAATATACCACGGCGTAGCGAAATGTAGCACTCTAGTATACTACGGCGTAGCTTGATGTACAATGTAAAAAAAATAAGTCTTATTTAAACGTTGTCCCATACTAAGATGTTCTCGTGTGTCGTGGGTGCGTTTAGAAACATATATATTCGCATATAACTAAATGACTCAATCCCAGATCCAGAACAAGAATATTTGGATTACACAAAGAGTTGTTCCGTGCGGCAATCGAACCCGAGACACGTTGCACTACTGCCAGTAGTTTGATTTTGTCTTTGTGGCCTATAAAACTTATGTTATAGCTGTATATTGACCTCCAATTAACCGGAAGTACTATCAGCGAAATGGATGTCACAATGAGTATTCACTTGAATTTACTAAACTTTGATAAATTGAACTGCGTGAAATGAACAATAATGAATAATTCCATTAGCATAATTTAAACATTCAAAGTAAGTACGCAATTCAAAATATTTCATTTATTTGTCAAAGTAAATGAAATATTTTGTTAGAGTTTCTAACAAGGACTACCTCGTTGGCCGACTGGTCGTAAGTGCGACTGCCGGGCAAGGGGATTCGAATCCTGGGTCGGGCAAAATATTACTGGGTTTTAAAATACTCTCAGTAGTAGCACGGAGTCTGGAATTGTGCCCGGTATATGGCAATAGGCTCACCCCCTATTACATGGGACTCATAACATAAATAGTGAAAAGTGGGTGTTACATTGTACAGTGGTATAATGTGCACCTCTGCCTACCCCTTCGGGGATAAAAGGCGTGATGTTATGTTATGTTTCATTTATTTGTACATTTGTTACAGAAAAAATAAGTAAAAAATCCATTGCCATTTCGATCTCGAGTTTTGTCCCTAGCTAAACAATCTATCTGTAGTCAAAATTAACAGCCACTTCCAATCCAATGTTTTTTTCAGGGGCTTAAAGTAGCCTATGTAATACTTCAGACCGCATCTACATCTACTACATGTTCCGAATATCATCCCGGTCCCTTCAGTCGTTTAGATGTGACTGACTAATAAATGATTGTAACTGTGTATGTTAACACTAACTCACACATTTTCATATTTATAATATCGGTTCAAGCTAATTCCAACCATCGGCCGTATAGTTACAGCGTTAAGTCCACTGCGGGTACCGGGCACCTTTGACTAGGTGTTTCTTCAATATTGTTGTGCATTGTTTTGTTCTATTGCTAATAGTTTCGGCAGCGCATTCGACGAAAGACATTTTAAGACTCATTTTTCTACACCTTCGGTTACATTGTTCAAATTTTACCAAGGATCCCTAATTTTTTTCAAAATGAAATGTTGCCTATGTCAAATTGGAAGATTGTAGCATTCTATTGGTGAAAGAATTTTTTAAATCGGCCTAGTACTTTTTGAGCCTATTACATACAAAAATAGGTACAAATCTTTCCTCTTTATAATATTAGTATAGATATAGATGTTTTTCCTTCTCCTATTACTTTGTTTTAATGTCTTTGTAGACTTACTGGAGACTTGTAATACAGGTATTTTACGCCTAAAACAGACTCCAGCACCTCGCATTGCCATAAAAAGTAGATTATAAATAAATAAGAATAAATAAAACTAGAACAAGTGAAGAAATAAAAAAAGTTTAATTATTATTATTACTTCACAACGCAGTGTCGCTGTGCACCACATTCCCCGAACTTTACATTTAAATACTTGTCTATTTACATAAAAAATCCCACGGTACCGATACATATAATACAATAGGTTTAGGCCGCACCAGTAAGGTAGCAATTAAGATAAAGGGATTTTAGATAAAAGGGTCAAAAGTTGTATTGTGTAAAAAACTGCAAATATGATTATCTAAATATTCGCTATTTAAAGGACTAGGAGCGAACCTCGGTCAGTCAGTCCTCAATGTTACTCACTCTTTCTCCTTAATCGCGAATAATTTCAATTTTTTACCATGAGGTACTTTCCCGTTTCTTATTATTGTTATTAAAAGTAACTTTGACGGAAAAGTTACACTACCTGCCCCCAAAGGTGCTCCCGCGTCGCCCGCAAGCTTCGATCAACAATAACAACTGTTGATCGAAGCCCGCAAGCAATGGCTCTTCTCACCCGCCGGCCATGCGCAGCGTCATGTATTGCACATCATACAGGCGGCGCATGTGAAAATTATATCGGAGTTATTTTAAAGTTGTAATATCTTCTAAGTTGTTCATTGAAATGAAGTCAAAGATAAATTTGTTCACAATTAAATAGGCTTAATCAATACCTATACTTCGATAAAGATTAATATTATTATGTGGGTACAACTCTAACAAATAGATAGGTAATTCGTAATAATGCAATAATTTCGACCAAATTTGATTACAACGGTTCTAATGAGTAAAACTTAAATGATAGACATATACTGCCGCGGACATTTTTTTTTAGATCATTTTACAAGTTCTTCCTCGTCTTCAGCCAGTGGAAATGGCCCCAGCCAGTTCTGCTGAAACGACCTGATTGTATCGACCTTGGGTTCCCCGTGTGGGATCCTAGAGTAAGTATTGGAAATTGTTCTATGATTATTATGTCTTAAATAAAATAGTTATTTTCATTTACAGATGTACGTAATTGTGCACATGCTTATGTATAAGTAATTTGTTTCAGGTAAACGAGGCGGATCGCGATCACGTGATGCCCATCATAACTCCTGCCTACCCACAACAAAATTCTACATTCAACGTGTCTGCTGCCACCAGGTCGGTCATGGTAGAAGAATTAAAGATCGGTGAGTACATCATCCACCAAGTAACATTTCAATCAAGATACAATGTCATTACATAGTATCTTGATTGCCTTTGCTGTGTAATTGTTAGAAAGTATTTGAAATTAATATTGTATTGGTGAACCGGTCTGGCCACCACTGAAGAGATCATGAAGGGCCTTCGAGATGCCTGCGTTTTTTAAACTGTCAAACACCAAGCGGTCACCGGTGACCGCAACCTATTGTTCTATAATTGTGTCTACAAAACCGGTTAATACATTTAATCATTTCGCGGTGGTGCTGGCCTCCTCCGCCAGCCAGGACGACCAGCTGAAGTGGTGCAGGCTCGTTGAGAGCAGGATTCTGCTGTTTATGCATATTTTTGTGTTGTTGTAGAGCAGGATTCGACATCTAGTCGGTCAGTATTCACTATAAGTCTACTAATATATTTCACTTAGCTTCGTAATGCAAGCTCACGGCCTCTTAACGGCAATATATCTAACGGTGTATATTTGTTACAGAATCACTTCAATAGGACGAACCAGTGTCATTAGCGCGGGTGCACCCAAAGTGCTACAATTGTGCACCCGTTAGTGCAACCACTGGGCAGGCCCCAGCCAACTGCTGCTCGATGTGGTTCATCGGGTTGGAGTTCCAGAAGACCTCTGCCTATGTTGGCACATGACGTGTCACGGAGAACGTCAACAATATCGGGAGGAAAACAAACATGCTTCAGGACGGCATGGCTATACAGGTAATTTATTACTTCTAAACTTTATAGACATTTGTCCCCCCTAATTAACAAATCAATTAGTCCCCATTTACGTTTCTTCTGCTATAAGTTTGTCAGCAGTAAGTAACATTTGATGTTCTGTCAGGTCCGGTATGTGCGTCGAGAGGAGTTAAACCTATACCTGCCTGACTCCCTGACACGCCGCGAGCTCACCTCCCCCGACGCAAAGCTACATCAAAGCTTTGCGCCACAGGGCGCGCCCCTGGTAGAGCCCCCGGCCGCGCCACTCAACGCCACCAAGCGGCCCGCCGAGGGCGGCGACCACAGCGACGTGCCGCTGTGGTCGGGGCCAGAGTTCATCCGGTACGTCGCGACAATGTACCCTAATAAAATAAGGAGGTTGTGAAACGAAAGTGTACACACTTGTGTACATGTGTATGTGACACGTCATGTCTAAGTTGACAGAGGTCTTCGCAAACTCCAACCCGATGAACCATGGACAAAAGGTAAAATGTGACATTATAAATGAAATTCTATTTGACTACTATGATACTATGATTACAATCAATCCGATTTCCGGAATCTTTGGAAATATTATGTGCCTAGTCCTAAGCATTGGACTACGTTCTTTATAATACATTTATCAATACCTCTTACATATGATGGAATGCGCGATTCCTGTTATGTTGTTATCTACTTTGTATGATGTTAACTACTTTGACATTTCTTTTTCAATTACTTATTTTCCTGATAACTATATCTTTTACAATCTATCTACTCATTTGCATTTGTATTAAGTAACATTATGTTTACAGGTGCATCACTATACTCGGAGGTGAGAACCAATGAGTTAAATGAGGCTATTTGTTCCGAATGGAGAACTGGTGTACGAAGCAAAGTCGGAAGCTCGCCGTCGAGAGGACGCGATCGGTGCCATAAACGTTTTGGTCCGCCAGTGGACCCTGGAAGAAACTATGAAGAAGGGCCAGCCTGCTTTTTTTGTAGGAGGTCATATTTTTCGGGAGCGGCGAGCGGCGAGCAGCCCTGGTGGGGGCCACTTCACCTGCAGACGGCTTGATCAACACTTGTTTCCTTACTCCAACAGAAAACCAAATGGTCAGTTGCTTCAGACAGGAAACTCATCGAAGGAACTCTTGTGCTCATCCGAGACAAGGCGCTTCCACCACTTGTTTGGGCATTAGGTCCTGTAGTGAGAACCTATGCGGGCGTCGAAGGAATCACACGCGTGGCAGACGTGAAGACAATGAGAGGAGTCATCACAAGAGCGTTCAACAATCTTTGCCCTCTTGCCTTCGAAGATGTCAACAGGCGGAAGGATGTTCACGCATCAACCGCGTGATCATGTGAACTGGTGTCACCGACGGCTAAGGCGCGGGCGCGGGGTAGAAGATCTGCACGCGGGCGGCGGGCGGCGGGCGGCGAGCGGGAGCGGCGAGCGGCGAGCAGCCCTGGTGGGGGCCACTTCACCTGCAGACGGTTTGACCAGCACTTGTTTCCTTACGTCACCGTTTTTACATCGCTACTTTCTTTTTGTTACTTTGTAATATAAATTTAAATCTAAAATACAGTCCACTTTATTTCTACAACTCCCTAAGCTTCTGAACACAGATATGTACTGTCGTTCAACAGGTTCACCAAAGGTTCGGAAAAGTCGACGCCCTGTGCGTTGCACCGCAGTATGTTAATAGGAAAGATTTCTTCACGTCGTTCTATGAACTGTTGAAATCCCACCATGGGGTTAATAATAATACTTACTTGAACTTGGCTAACTGTTTTGTCAGTAAATCTATTTATTCATTTATCTATAATATACAAAGCTGAAGAGTTTCTTTGTTTATTTGTACGAGGATCTCTATTAGTTCGTTTTGATTAATTATTTTTGTGTTGAATAGTTCATTTATCAAGCAAGGCTTCGTGAGCAGCTGGTTGAAGATGAAACAAGGGTAACGTATTGACAAACATTGGTCCTAACTAACATTATGTGTCTTTCTGCAGGTCGGAAGTTTATGTGCTACGGAGGAGGCATACGTGTCGTTTGTCAAATTCACTTTCAAAGGAATAAGGTTTAATCTCCTATTCGCAAGCACAGTTGGTGCGGTGGCTGGGCAACCGGCTGCTGTGCAACGTGTCGCGGGTTCGATACCCGCACGGAACAACACTTTGTGTGATCCACAAATGATTGTTTCGGGGCTGAGTGTGATGTGTAAAAGCACCCACGACACAGAAGAAAATCCTAGTGTGGGGAACGTTTAAAAATAGCCTATGTTGCTCCTTAGTACATTACCTGACAGTAAAAGTCCTATTACAATCGGTCCAGCCATTACAGAAATTAGCCAGTACAAACACAGACAAAAAAAATGTTATTCTGTATAGGTATCGTATGTATATTCTTATGCATGTAGTAAATTGTATCGGACAGATGATAAAATGTGACATTGACTAGTAATATGATTACAATCAATCTGATTTCCGGAATCTTGAGAAATATTAGGTTTAGGACAAGGCACATGCCTCGTCCTAAGCATTCGACTACGTTCTTTATAATACATTTATCAATCACTCTTATGATGGAATGCGCGATTCCTCTATGAATCTTCTTATCTCATTCTTAAGCAGTCTTAGAATTTATGAACTAATGAAAAACTGTCACCCAGACCTTAGTTGAAGCGTACGGCGCGTCGCGTTCCGCGCGCGCCTCAAAGAGCCATCAGACCACCACAGATGGGGCACAATAGGGCAGATGCCGATTCGGAGTCGCGGAGAACCTAACGGGTAACCGGGGCTCCGGCTCGACGTGCAGGAGAAGGAACGGGGTGGTTTTTAGTCAGTAAGAGTCTGACACTCCCTCCCGCCTCACCCAGGCGGGAGCAGTCATTCGATGATTTTCCCCCCTTAAAAAAAAAAAAAA